CTGTCTGTCTGTCTGTCTGTCTGTCTGTCTGTCTCTCTCTCTCTCTCCCTCTCCTCTCTCTGCCTGTCGCTGTCTCTGTCTCTGTCCCCGTCTCGTTCTCTGTCTTTGTCTCTGTCTCTCTCTCTCTCTCTGTCTCTGTCTTCTCTGTCTCTGTCTTCTCTGTCTCTGTCTTCTCTGTCTCTGTCTATGTCTCTCTCTCTCTCTTTTTGAGACGGTGTGGGGCCTATGTTGCCACTGTATGGGGCCTATGTTGCCACATCTTGAGGCAATCTTGACCCATCTACAGGCTATGTTTCCCATATCTGGGACCTATGCAGGGTCATCTTGCGGTGTGTGCCATATCTGAGACCTATGTTGGGTCATCTTGCGGGCCTCAGTCAGATCCTCTTGGAGCACATTTTCCGCCTTTGCAGTGGGCGCGTGCCCAGCACCCACGAAATGTCGATTATGCTTGTTCGCCCGGCGCGCGTTACCGACACCACCCTTGAAAAACACAGCGTTGTTGCATTTCTCCCTCTTCGCCGCGTCGCACTTCGATATGCGCCATAAACCCTGTAAAACACAGTGTTTTTTATACCTCACACATACAAAACACCGTAAATTACGTCGACTTCAGTGAACCGGACGTCCGCCCGTTCTGGGCCCGAGGGTCGCCGGCAGGGGGGCGCCCCGCTTACACGGCCAGGGTCATTGCCGTAGGCAGTCTCTCCTCTCCGAAGGAGAGAGGGGAGTCCCGCCCCAGCCGCAGACCCCCAGGAATTCTGTGTTTCAGATGGGTCACCATGGCCCAACATAGGCCCAAATAATGCTGGAAATGCCTGCCGCACCGGGGTGCTTCGTCTGCATCGTGGGTGGCTGCTGGGCTAACAACAACAACAACGACAACAACAACAACAACAACCACAACCACAACCACAACCACAACCACAACCGCAACGACAACAACCACAACCACAACCACAACCGCAACCACAACCACAACCACAACCACAACCACAAGCACACCACCACCACCACCACCACCAACAACAACAACAACAACACCAACAACAACCACCACCACCACCACAACAACAACAACAACAACAACGCCCCCGTGCCCTTTTTCCCTGCCCCCTCCCCTTTGCTTGGGCCCCTGGCCGGCTGTCGGGCGTAAGCCCCTGGCTCCTCTCTCTCTCTCTCTGTCTTGCTGGGTGTCGCGGTCTTGCTTTGCCCCTCTCCCGCGTTATGTCTGTTGTTGCCCTCGCTTTCCGTATCCCTCTCCCTGGCGCTGTCTCTGCCTATTCTCTCTATGTCCGTTTCGCTGTTTCTTTCCCTCCCTCTCTCTCTCTGTCTGTCTGTCTGTCTGTCTGTCCGTCCGTCCGTCCGTCCCTCCGTCCGTCCGTCCGTCCGTCCCTCTCTCTCTCTCTCTATTCTCTCTATTCTCTCTATTCTCTCTATTCTCCCTCTTCTCCCTCTTCTCTCTCTTCTCTCTCTTCTCTCTCTTCTCTCTCTTCTCTCT